GATTATTTGAGAGGGACAAATCAGAACAAACATTATTATTTCATTTGAGATACATATATATATATATATATAAGTGCATGCGCGCCTCTAATATTTTTCGGAGTTTGAGTTTATATTCAATTATACATCAGAATGCCCACATTATACGTATTAACTAAGAGATAAGTATTAGATATGAGGTATCTAACATCTATTGGTATAATTAAATTATAAAATTTCTCACTCTACAAATTTATAAAAAAATTGATATAAATTTTAAAAAATAATATGTATAAAAGAAGGAATGACCATTATGAATATTTATTTGATTTTTAATTAATTTAATTTTTTTTTTAAAATAATTTATAATTAAAAATTATACATAAAAAAGGGGCAATTAGACATTTATGTTGGATCGTAGTTCAAAAATTTCAAGATTATCCTTATTAAAGGGATTTAATATATAAATTACAGGAACAAAAGTATTTCCAAACTAACATATATCGTAGTAAAAAAAAAAAAAAGAAAAAGAAGGAGAAAAGGTAGTGATGGGCACGGCGCCTCTATTGAAGGGTGTGGCAGGGGGATGGCCCTAAACTGTAAGCTCCACTTACTATACATACTCCACAATCATTCTATTGGGACCCGTTAACTCCCTAGAGGGTCCTTGTTTCAGGTTATATAACGTCTCCAGTATAATAACTACAATCAAGAGAATACCACCGTTTGATTAGTAAAGGAAAGCGTCTAAACCAGAGTTGGCAGTAAGATCAAAACCACATCATCATCACACCACATTCCTCCAGCCCTATTTATAAGGAAAGCCCCAACAGAATATATAAAAGTTAAAAACAGAAAACAAAATATAATTTATATTATTATTAAAATAAAAGAAAAAAAAAAGGAGATCCTCTTTTTTTTAAAGAAAAGGAAAGCAAAAGGAAATCGATCAAATGCTTTCTCTTATTTGCCAATCATCCTTGAAATGTCAACTAATTCGGTAATTTCCAGGGTCCGAGCTTCAACCGTTTCATATATAAATTGCACACCAAATTAGCCTTATTGATATACTGTCATAGTATACGGAACCAAGAGAAGAGCGAAGAGATATTGAATCAACAGGTGAAGTATTTCCATTGCTGAAGAGTTTCAGCCTGGGATTTGGGGCGGGACATGGTGGAATCATCAAGAAGCCCTTATACCATGTTCAGCACAGGGATTGTCTTACCGATCACATGGGGGCTTTTTGGCCGACTAGTAGTAGGTTGATGTAAACAACAACAAGGTATGTGAGGATCGATAATTTGTTCTGCTGTAGCTCCATCGTTTTCCAGGTGCTCAAAAGCCTCAGGATCAGCAGACGATTCAGATAGTGGAGGCAGCAGTAGTTGATCGGATCCACCTTGCAAATGATGAAGGTTTTTGGCCATTCATCATATCTTCTCCATCTACCGATTTGGAACCAAGGCTTACTGTAAGTTTGTGATTTGGATTGGATTCAATAATTATTAGATTTAATATGGCCCGTTACATGTAAACTTCAAACTACAAGTTAAAAGAATGAATAAGTATAATACTAATGACTTTATAGATTTCTTTATTCGGCTGTCATTGTTCAATCAATTAAATCTTTAATTAGTCGAATTTGTGTTCTATCTGCTTTGTAGTAGCCGGAAATGGGACAGAGAATTATCCAACAATTATTCAAGAAGATATGAATCAAAGTTGAATTAGGACAAGAACCAGGGAAGGACATTTCTCATCAAACCAAAGGATTGAGTCCAAAGAGCTTTACTTGTGCAGCCGAAGAAAGATTCCTGCATCAATGCCCTTTAGTCCATTAACACGGACTTTTCTTTAGATCAACCACAACCTCAAGTCTGTCGCCAACTCCGATACCTCTACAGGTAAATCTCAACAGATATTTCTTGCAAAGATTTCCAGACAGGGTTATATTTCAATTCACAGCCAAAAAATGAGTAATTTAATGTAATCAACCATTTATATTCATAGGATTTTGATGCTATATCTATTAAGCGTATCATTTGAGAGCACATAGCCAATTGGCTTGGAAGCCAAAGCTAGAAGATTTTGGATTACCTCTATTGTACGAGACTTTGGCTGTATTAGGGGAGGACTTGGGTTTCGTACGAGATTTAGGAATTGTTTTATAATCTCTTTTGTTCTTTGTAGAATTTTTCTACCCTTTTTGCTTGTGGAAGTAGGATTTACGCTAATCCACGTAAATTCTGTGTGTCAAGAATTATTGTTTATTTTTCATATTTTGCTTAAGTACTCTGATTAATTCATTCGTGGGCAACAAGCTGATATCAGAGCTATAAGTTCTTTGCTCAAGTGGAAAACTTATCAAAGTAAAGATTCATTGAAGCCAATGGCTCATTTACTCTTGTAGACTCCTTTTGAGTTTGAGTTTATATTTCTCTAGGAAAACATATAAAAAAAATAAGAAATAAGAATACAACTTCTACAAAGATTAGGAATTGAAGATCTCTACCATAAGCCTATAGACATAAAATGTTGAGAATCAAGTTAACAAATTTTTTTAAGATATATAGAGTTTTGGGCAAACATATTTTGGGGATACCAGTCGTTTTAAGGTTTGAGTAGGTATCATATTATATGGCCTAATTTTTTTTCGGTAACACGGTGATTGTTTTAAGAGTCCCTTTCTGCACATTTTCAAGTAATTTAAGTTTACAAAGATGATGAGGCATTCCAATGCCAAGTGAGCTAATAATTTAGGAGTCCCTTTCAGCACATTTTCAAGTAATTAAAGTTAGAGCTCCCATGGAACTGGCCTAACTTGCTTTGATTCTTCAGATCATGTCAAAGTCAATTATATTTGCTAACACTCTTCAATAATTTCTGTAATAGATATGTTTTGTCTACTAGACTCTATATCCAATTTTTCTAATCGAGAAATTGTTCATGTATTTGCAAGAGTAGGACAAATCCACTGACTATGTTGATTGACTCGCATTAGAAAATTCACAAAGTCTTTGCAGAAAAAAATTAGGCAAAAGATTTTTTGGTCAACTTCAATGAATTAGCCACCCTTATTATTCCATCAACTTAATTATTTTTCTTCTACTTTGTTATTATGTCAAATACTAGTCTCTCTCTCTTTCGCTTTATTTATTTATTTATTTTGGGTCCATAGAGCCATGAATGGTCACAATCTTGTGGACGCCATCTCAAATTACACCACATTTTTTATTTGAACTTTCAACTCTAAATTGACAATCAATTTCAATTATATTTTAATTTTTAAAAAGAATACACTATATACAAACTTGACTAATACAATCTTGACAAAATTCAAGATTGATCATACCATCAGCTGAACTCTATGTGCAAGTGCTTTTATTGTTCTTGTCTTCAATGATTCTTGATTTTATGGAATATGAATAAAATTGGCCTAGCTCTCAATTAACAAGAACTTCGGTTATGGCCCTCCAAAAAGAAAAAGTTACCTTTGCATTTTATGGACAATAATGTTGGGATGATGCACTTGGTTACTGGGAACAAGCAATTACTAAAACAAAGAAAAGAAGACAACATGTGAAAACATTTCAAGATTCATATTGATAGCTAATGGGAAGCCGATTTCTGCCAAGTTGTGTCCACACACATTTTACAAATTGCAAATTAACGAATTGGGTTTAAATTCCAATCCCTTCATCCGATTGGAATTAATCAAGTATAGAGGAATTAAGACAAGGGCAATTATGGAGGCTAAGGAAGTGTAAAACACCTCTTAATATATAACATTGGGAATGCCAATCTACAATTGTTTCAGAACATTCCAACCTATCATTATTGTTATTGGTCTAATATATGTTAAACACCTACCTACAAGTTTTAAGCTTAAGCTTTTAGGAGAGATAATAACTTAATATGGTATCAAAGCTAAAAATCTTAAGTTTGAAATCCTCATATACAATCTGGATAAAGAAAAACTTTCAAGTTTGATGACAACTTAACATGGTATCAGAGTCAAATGTCTTTAGTTTGATGTATGTTGACCTATTGGTCTTATATATTTTGAGCTTTTACCTACAAACTTAAGTTTTTAGGTGGAATAGCAACTTAACACTTTAGATATTTATGAGATAACTGTGTAAATTAATTTCCAACATCAAGAGATTATAGAGAATAATAAAGAACAAACTTTAATTATAATATCAATTTTCTAATAATAACTTTCTCCTTGAGTTTCATAGTGCCCACGAGATCAATCACCAAAAATGAATTACTCATCAATCGGGCATCTCTAGTTTAGTGTGTGATTTCATATATAAGTACGTACTTGTGCTTCAATGTAAATGTTCTAAATTTTTTAATTAAATATGAGCGTTTAATCACTCACTTTATAAATTTTATAATTAAAAAATTATACTATAAAAAAGGGGCAATTAGACATTTATTATGGATCTGTAAGTTAAAAATTTCAAGATATCCTTATTAAAGGATTTTAATATATAATCTACAGGAAACAAAAGTATTTCCAAACTACATATTATCGTAGTAAAAAAAAAAAAAAAAGAATACAAGAAGGAGAAAAGTAGTGATGGTCACGCGCCTCTATTGAAGGGTGTGGCAGGCGGGCATTAGGACATAAACATGTAAGCTACACCTACTATACATACTCCACAATCATTCTATTTGGGACCGTAAATCCCTAGAGGGTCCTTGTTTTCAGGTTTATCTAACGTCTCCATTATAATAACTACAATCAAGAGAATACCCACCGTTTGATTAGTAAAGAATCGTCTAAACCCATGACGTGGCAGTCAGATCAAAACCCACCATCATCATCACACCACATCCCTTTATTTATAAGGAACAAGAACTATATTATAAAGTTAAAAACAGAAAACAAATATATCTTATATTATTATAAAATAAAAAAAGGAGAATTCTTTCTTTTTTTAAAGAAAAGGAAAGCAAAGGAAATTCGATTCAAATGCTTTTCTCTTATTTGTCCAATCATCCTTGAAATGTCAACTAATTTCGGGTAATTTCCATGGTCCGTACTCTTCAACCGTTTCATATATAAATTGCACACCACATTAGCCCTTATTGATATACTTTCATAGTATACGTAACCAAGAGAAGAGAGAAGAGATATTGAATCAACAGGTGAATATATTTCCATGGCTGAAGAGTTTCAGACTGGGATTTGTGGCGGGACATGGTGGAATTCATCAAGAAGCTCCTTCTCCCCATGTTCAGCATCAGGGATTGGTCTTACCGATCACATGGGGAGCTTTCTTTGGCCGACTAGTAGTATGGTTGATGTTAAAACAACAACAAGGTCTTGTGAGGAATCGAATAATTCTGTTTCTGCTGATAGCTCCATCGTTTTCCAAAGTGCTCAAAAGCCTCAGCCTCAGCAGACCGATTCAGATAGTGGAGGCAGCAGTATTTTGATGGACTCCACCTTGCAAATGATGAGTTTTGGCCTTTCATCCTCCTCTTCTCCATCTACCGATTGGAACCAAGCCTTACTGTAAGTTTGGTATTTGTATTTGATTCAATAATTATTATGATTTAATTATGGCCGTTACATGTAAACTTCAACTACAAGTTAAAAGAAGAATTAAGTATTAATACTAATGACTTTATAGATTTCTTTTATTGGATGTCAATATGTTCAATCAATTAAATCTTTAATTAGCTCGAAATTTTTTTCCTTATCTGCTTTTGTAGTCGCGGAAATGGGACAGAGAATTATCCAACAATTATTCAAGAAGATATGAATTCAAAGTTGAATTATGGACAAGAACCAGGGATGGACATTTCTCATCAAATCCAAAAGGATTGGAGTCCAAAGAGCTTTACTTGTGCAGCCGAAGATTCCTGCATCAATGCCTTTAGGTCCATTAATCAAGACTTTTCTTTAGATCAACCACAACTCAAGTCTGTCGCCAACTCCGATAACTCTACAGGCTTATCCACCGGTTTCTCCGTGGCTTCATCAACTGCTTCATATGGGATCCCTTCACCAACGTTGCATAGTTTGTTTGAACAATCTCTTTTCACCAACCGGTCAAGCAACTATTTGTCTTCACCAAATTATGGGATAAGTTCTAATGAATTATCGCCTACTTCTTGGCCAAAATTTCCTTCCAGTAACTTGTTAAAACAATCATCGCCAAAACAGCAACCAAATAGTTTGCACTTCTCCAACAACACGCCCTTTTGGAACGCCTCCGTTACTTCTGGCTTAAATGATAATAAAGCTGGGTATTTTCCTTCATCTCACTCACAATTTCTCACACCGATACTTGAAGAGAAACCCAATTGTCACAGCCTCAATACTAAGGTAAATTAATATATAGTTATAAAGATGCCACCATAGTTGGATTCATGACAAGGGTTTTGGAACTGAAGTTTATTTATTTATTTATATTTTAGTCTAACAACGAAGAAGTTCGAGACTCGGGGTCTGTGGTGAAGAAAGTAAGCGGTGAACCTGCATTCAAAAGGCCTCGAATTGAAACACCATCGCCGTTACCGACTTTTAAGGTACAATATATTCAAACAATCCTTTTGTTGGTGCCTAGTGGAGAACTTCAAACTTTTTATTGCTGATAATTAACTTGTTTTATTTTAAAGAAATCATCGATTCTGCTTTGTTATCTGTAGGTTCGGAAAGAGAAGCTAGGGGACCGAATAACTGCTCTCCAGCAATTGGTTTCACCTTTTGGAAAGGTAAATTTTTGGATTTTTCAACTTTTTTCAATTGCTACAATATGTAAATAATCTCTTTACATTGTGCTATAATTTAAAGCTTTATCATGCTTGGCATTAATTACTATTATTCTTTCCTTTTTCTTGTTTCTTTTTTTTCTCAGACTGATACAGCATCTGTTCTCCACGAAGCTATTGAGTATATCAAGTTCCTCCATGATCAAGTCAGTGTATGTTGCCATATTTAATATCTTTTTTCTCGTTCAAATCGAATGCGAACCCTTTCTGTGTTGAAAAGTCATGAAGAAGATTAACATTTTATTATAAAAAGTCTAAACTTGTTCTGATGAATGTTTATCAGGTTCTAAGTACTCCTTACATGAAGCAAAGTACTCCGATTCAACAACAACAGGTACATTTATAAATCTTTTTAATGTTTATTTATGCTGTACAAAAAACTACTAGTTGTACGTATAATGCATTCTTATTGAGATGCTTGTTGTATAATTGTACAGAACTGTGATAAAGTGAAGGACCCAGAAGCGGGAAAACAAGATCTGAGAAGTCGAGGACTTTGTTTGGTGCCAATGTCGAGCACATTCCCAGTTGCTAACGAGACAACAGCTGATTTTTGGACGCCAACATTTGGAGGAACTTTCAGGTAGAAGAAAGAGGATCGAGATTAAGTAATTAAAGTGGGTCTGCAAATGCAAGTACTGATTCTCTACCACTAATGAAATGTCAAATCCCATAATGATAACTTGTATTAATTAGAAAGAAAGATAACTGAAAACTTAGAAGCTACATTGCTTTGCTGTACCAGTACCAGTGGTGAGAAAAAGCTATAGAAAACAAAGAAAAAAGATAAAAAGAGAAAAGGAAGTGACCCTTCAAAGATGGACAAACAATGCCGGGCCAGCTACAAGCAGAATGATGGAAGGTAGAAAATGATTAGAAACCGCCGAAAAAAGAAAAAATATATCATATATATATATAGTTGTTTGCAATAATCGAAGTATTATTTTATTTATAAAATCTGATCGGCAGGTGGGTTAGGGACAGGAACAGTGCTAAATTCAGCCAAATCGACATTAGTTTAGAGATAATTGTTGTTGTTATAATTGTAGCTGAATTTAGCAGATGGGCAAGTGATAAGGAGCGCCCTTTTATTCCTGTTGGTTTGTGTATAGCTATAGCTGGCATCACCTTTTATCATTTAGGGAAAAGAAAAAAGAAGGAAGATGAAAGAAATAATAAAGTGATTAATATTATTGTATTGAATTCTTGTTATTGAAGAATAGGAGTGAGTGGAGGTCATTTGATTGGGTTCTAACTTTTTTCATTTGTTATTGTTTATATGTTTGGAATGTGGTAGTGGAAGTCAGAGGGCGGCCCACTGTCCCTGCTTTTAGGGTTTCTGATTATTTGAGAGGGACAAATCAGAACAAACATTATTATTTCATTTGAGAGATAGAGAGAGACTTATATATATATATGAGTGCATGCGCGCCTCTAATATTTTTCGGAGTTTGAGTTTATATTCAATTATACATCAGAATGCCCACATTATACGTATTAACTAAGAGATAAGTATTAGATATGAGGTATTTAACATCTATTGGTATAATTAAATGATAAAATTTCTCACTCTACAAATTTATAAGAAATTTGATATAAATTAAAAAAAAATATATGTATAAAAGAAGGAATGACCATTATGAATATTTATTTGATTTTTAATTAATTTAATTTTTTTTAAATTATACATGTTAAAATCAATATTTTATTTGTTAATTTGTGTGAATGACATGATACATTGATTCATTTAAAAAAAAAAAAAAAAATTAAGATATAAGACAAAGTTCAAGCTCTCTTTGTCTCTCTGCGGGCTCTCATCCTTTAACTTTAAGAGTCACCTAATGGTTTGCAGGGTCTACATATAAAATAAACCTCTTGAAGTAGGATTCGCTACCGCAAAATGTTATAATAAATTAATAAAGAATTTAATTTCTTACTATCTCATGTTTCCATTACCCGCCTCTTCCAAAAAGCGCCGATAAATAAGAATTGTTAATGACTTTTAAAGCCTGTTTAATGGGGGATAATCTTCTCCTAATCATTATGTGTGTATTATACTCTCATCTTCAAAAATAGAATTCTTTCGTTAGAAGTTCAAACCTATGCTGAAAAATCCAGCTCAACTTCACATTACAATGATGAATGATTAATTTATTGGAGAAATTTCAATATCTCGTGGTGCACCACAGGCACCTTGTACATAATTGTGCATGTCCAATTTAAGCTTGTTAATTTTTGTATGCGTATGCTGGTTATTTCAACATACAAATTGCTCCTCTGCTAGTAAAGAAAATTAAATAATTTTTACGAATATTAAAATCTAAAAAGAAATTGTATTCAATTGGTGTTATATACATAATATATATTTATGCTTTAGCAGTTTGTATTTCGGTCACCAAAGCTAAGGATTTGCGAATGACCTTTATAGAATCGAGTCCTAGCTGTATGTGCCCTTCCATTACAAACAAATTAATCAAAGAATGAATTGATCTTAAATTAATACCATTTTATCAGAGATATAGGTCTTTGTAAAAAGATGATTGTTGAAGTGAACGCTTACAGCATAACAATGATTTTGAACGACCGAAGGGGGGGAAAGCACTAAAATAAAGGAGATGGAACCACATTCATTCTTAGCACAGAAGAAAATAATTAAAAGGTATTTAAGCTGTTGCAAGAAAAGCAATTTGACAAAATTGAGTCGCAAGTCTCTTGTCCTTTCATTCTTTCACCAGTCGCATAACTTATAAATATAAAATGGAGAATCTACGAAACATAAACCAGACATTTATAGTCATTATTTGTTAAAAGTTTGTTCCTATCAATCTTAGATTTGCATATGGAGGATGATAGGAAATCAATCCAATCCAAATAAAATATCGGGGAACCAAATGAATATAGCTTACAATCAAGTATGGAAATGAAATGAAAAGAAGCTTAATATTGAAGAATCCTAATGACAAATGACTAATCATAAGAAAAAGTACTTTAATAGTTAAAAATCCATGTTGATTGGTATCTATTGGCGCCAGCTTTAATATCTTTTTGTCACTTTGAAATTGACTGGCTGATGGGTATTATACCATATACCCTCAAGCATCGGGATCAGTACCGTTTGCTAGCTCTTGAGTACTCGATGGATGGAATTCAATTCTATCTTAATATATATTGTTTTTGTAAGATGGTATGCTTGTTTACTTGATAAAAAGATGAAACATAAAAGGAATACTGAAAAGGAAAAGCATCTAGGCATCATTGTGATGTTATTAAAGTATGCGGCTCCCAGCAGTTACAATCTTTACTTTAATAGAATTCTTTATTTTTCTTGTTTAGGCTAATCAAAGTGCCTACTCAACGTACATTTGTCTTCTGCTACAAGTTTTTCTAGCTAGCAGCTCAAAAGAGTTTTTTCTTTTTGTAACTTTGAATCTAATCTTGAAGTCATTTATAATATATCTCTAAAACATAAGGATTAAGAAATCCAGGAGAGAAGTTTGATTTACCAATACATAAAAAGGTTTTCTTTTCTTTTTTTCCTTTTTTTTTTTTTTATGGCAAATTCAACTTTTTCGCAAAGTACTTTTCTTCTTCTCGTGTTATCAACTTCTTTGACTCCAATGAAATGTTCCCATCTGAAAGGAGTTCTTCTCCATCTCTTAAAGAATCCAAACCCTGCCCAACAAGTCTCAGCTGCTTACTTCTTTATTAAAGTTAAAGATGGATTACATTAGTACATGTAGGTTAAGATAATTAATGTTTTAATAGCTTTCACGATCAACGAATTATGTATTGCGCGACACACATGGATGACAAGTCAAGCAAGTGACATATATTAAAATTTTGTAAAATGGAATATATAACGTTACTTAACACTTCATTAGGACGACACGTCGTCAGGTTAGTTTCTGTTGGATGAGTAAAAGCTAATGACTTTTGATTCACTGACAATTCGTTTGTTTATCATGTATTGGACGACATAGTATCTTATAAAGTTTTTAATCAGGTGATAAATCGGACGAAAAACCATTTAGTCCCTATGGTTTAAGTCTACTACAGTCAATGACACTTTATATTTACTAGCAATATTGTCCCCAAATAGGGATGGGCGTTTGACCCATCCCGAATGGGGCTAGGATTCCCCAAAATAGTCGAGGATGGGGTTAGGCCTGCACCTGCCCCACCTCTCTCATCTCCGCCCCATGTAGATGAAATTAACAGAATGTAAATGAATGACAATGAAATTAAATTAAAACCCAACAAATTAACGGATCAAACAATAATAAAAAAACGTTAGGGTGTTGATTTCACCTAGATATGCCAACCCAATTTATAGAATCTATTGCCCCCAAGTTCTAATTCCTTTGATTGAAAATTGAATTTTTTATGTTGTTTGGTACTATTTCTCAGGTTATACTGTAATAGCTGCTTTCTACTCATATACTCATAAAATATACATAATAAAAAAAATACAAGTATAATAACATAAATAGTTGGGCCCAAATTTTTCTTTTATTAAATATATACATTCTTTATACAAAGTTAGTATCATATACAAAAATCATCAAAAACATGGTGGAAGTGTAGCTTCCTCCTCGCTTGCCGACGTCCATCCGACCGCGACCTCACCTAGATCCTACAAAAACATAGAAAAACAACTGGGTGAGCACAAATAATGCTCAGTAAGTAAACCCTCTACTCCTCTATCACCGTAACTCTCTCTCTTCAATTCTTTCCTTACAATTGCTCTATTCTCATTTCCTCTCTCTTTTACAATTCTCTCTCTTTTCTCTTTCTGTTTCTCTTTCTTATAACTCTTTTCTACTAACTTTCTCTCTCGTATGTCATGACCCCATCTTACATGAGGCACAGCCAGGATTCGCTCCCTCTCTCCGTGACTTCTACTCATTCTCAGCCAATCGGACTCGGTTATGTATGGATTCGGAACCCTTGGCCATGTTAGTGTATATTCTCTCTCTCTCTCTCGGGTACTCTCGGGTATAGCACTCATCCGCATGCACTCTCACGGGCCACACCACTTTTCTCTCTCAACTCAGGCCGCTCTCTCTTTGTGGCGTACATGCGGGATTACTCTACCCATTACTCACGGGTTCCCCATCGCACAACCTACTATATTCTCTTCTTTAGCACTACTCTCTCTTTATTCTCTAGTGCTCATTCTCTCATTCTCTTTACTCTTAGAGTAGTTACTTCTCAAAATTCTCTACTCTTTCTCAAGCTACTTCTCTAATGCACAATTAATGCCTATGAATGACTCATACTCATTAATGCACTCATGAAATGCAAGTATGACATGTAGCAATAATTAAGGTTCTCTACTCTTACTCATGCCTCTCTTAAGCATTTCATCAAACAACTCATGTGCATACAAAAACTCTACATTAACTATAACTCTTCTCCTCTCTTTAATCATCCAAAATGGGAGAAAACTCCTTCATACACTCTAAGTTCCTGCCAAGGAAAACACTCCCAAAAAGATTCATGCAAAACTCCTCCAACTTCAACTCAATTTCAATCTCTCTTCACACATCAAACACTTCTCATAATGTAAACATATCCAACAACCATAAACTCAATACACATCTCATCTCAATTTCTCAATAACATAACATACACATGCATACATAACTCTCTACTCAATAAATTTCTTAAATCTCAACTTGGGTTGGATTTACTTACCTTATGATGGAGTGACTCTACTAGCACTTCTCTTTTCCTTTGGTAGAAAGTCTTTTCTCTACAACTTTAAACAACAATACTATAAGACTTCAACATATCTATAAGTAAAATTCACATCTAAAGCAAGAATCTTTACCTTAGGATGCTTTAGATTAACTTTTTACCAAAACTACTCAAAAAGCCCTCTAAAATCCTTGAAAAATTGGATGAAGAGTTAAGAGAAAATGGTGAAAGGGAATGGCGGTGGAAGAAGAAGAATGAAGGGTTTGCTAAACTTAATCCCTTTTAGCTCATATTATAACCATCATTTCCCATTTTGCCCTTGCTCTTTCTTAGAAATTCCATCTTTGTCCTTTCATTCATTACACTCACACCCCTAATTCTAACATATTTTCCATGAAATTTTCTTGCATTTCACTCCCCACTTTTCCTGCTAATTAGGGGTAGAATGGTCACTTTGCCCCTATGGAAAATTCCCTAGAAACTTCACCCAACTTTTCAGCCGG